TAAATATCATTAGGAATCATATACAGATTGACTCTTCTGTTTGGAGGACTCCGGACGTCCAACAATACACTCAGTGTCTATGAAGCAGTAGAGCGTCCCTTTGTGTGTTATCCATTCAGGCCAATTGGCAACCCTCTCATGCATGTTTATACACCCTCCGTTCTCGGGGACACAAGCCATGAGGCGCTAACACGATCGGTCAAATGTAAATACTTTTTTCTGTGCGATAGTGTTAAAATAGCTGTTGTCATGAATGAATGCTTATTTGCAAACTTGTGGCACGAGAGGCGAAAAGTCATGTAATTTTGTTGCTGGACTTTGCTTTTGTCAATGTCACGATTGAAAATGATTGTTAATGTTGACTGTCAATACATTTGACGACAAACAGAGGCCGCAAATGCAATATGACCTCAGTTGATAGAGATGTGATCAGTTGGATATTGAGCGTCTTCGAGTCAGGTGAAAGGGCCAGGTCGTCTATGTCTGATGTGTAGGAAGAATCTGCTCTCATCAAGGTATTCTCTTTGTCTTCATTACTTGTATATTTCTTGTTGACGAGTTTTGTCATATCCCATAAATTTTGTCTTGAGTTTTGTGATTGGGAACAATCTGGTATGTTAGTTTAGTAATGATTATGCTGTCCCAAATAAGTCATGCACTGAAATGGTTATGTTTGATATTTGGTGGCAGTTAAGAAACAAATGAAATTTACATACAGTTTGGAACTAAAACATAAATTACTTGTGTTGAATCGAGAATTTTTATGGATTCAGTATACAAAACCACACATATTTGGGAAGTGATGCAAAATAGACATTTATGTATGTTTGCTCAATGCAGTCAGTAATGCATTTGTTCCACTACAACTTATATATCAGCATTCTGTCTGTGTCAGTCTATGAAATCATATTTCAAAACCCATGCAGTGCCTGTGTTAGGGGTTCATTCATTCCCTTTAGACATGTCTGTAGTCTTCAGTAGCTGTCTTTGTTACAAGCAGGGATCAGCAGGCCATCCATCCATGTGCGACCAGCTTATTCATGCAACATATCATTAACACAACTAGCTGAACACTCAAGCTTGTTCAGCCATCCTTGATGTAGCACAGCGTAATTGGTGACCCTTTTCCCCCCTTAATAGCTGTGACAGTAGCATCTGCGGACTGTCGGGAGTGCCAGAGAAGATAGATTTCTTTGAAAGTAAAACCCTTTCTAGTTTATTGGCATATCTCATGAAGCGATGAAAGTGACATGCTTCTCACAGCAGGTTGTACATGTTTCACAGGCAGATGGGTCACAAATGTTAATTATATTTTTATCAATGTGGACATTAATTATTGTGACAGTTGGAGGTGGGGAAGAATACCTACTTGGGTATTAATCAATACCAGAGGGATTATCTCAAGAATATGACTGTGAATTAAAGATGGTGACACATGGTTGAAATATCAATAAATTTGACAGCTGAGATAAAGTGTCTGTTGACGAGGACATAATCAAAGTGGATGAGATACATTTGCATGAGATTACAGTACTGGTTTGATGTTGGTTTTATATAAACGGGGCCACAATGTATTTGTGTCCGGTTAACATCAGAAGAAAGTTTATTACGTTAACTTATGCCTTGAAATGAATCCAGAGGATCAAGTTGTGACTGTATATAAATTTTAAGATTGTTCCAGCTTTGTTGGAACCAGGAAAGTCAAGCATCATAATGAATTATGGGGGCCTGGGGGTCTTTCATGTTGGCTGTTCCTGCTGTATTTAATCGCGAAACACCCTAAATCTAGAACTTTAATATTTTGACAAGACTCCCCTGTCATCCCGGCTTCATTTTGAACTCAGTAAATCACCATATCAATGTTTTTTCATGTTATTGAATACAGTTTAGAACAAAGAGGTTCATTAATTGTGTTGTAATAAGTGTTTTGTCTTGGTGAAAGACATTATATCCTAAATTGTAACAGTCTTGACTCTTTGAAGATGTCCGTCTCTCATATTCTGAATGCTTTCCCACAGTGATGCAAATAGAGTCTTGATGTTATCAAATTGATCTAATTACTCAAAGTAACATTGTGTAGCAGGAAGAAAATGAGAACAATTCAGCCATTGTCATAAAATATTGACAAAAATGGGATTCAATAAAACTTAAATCCTTCCTGAGAGAGTACCAATTAAAATCTGTTTGTCCCATTGGCTTAGAAAACAGAAGGATTGCAGCAGCAATGTTCACTGTAGTGCCAGAACAAGCAAGTAGTAACCTTCCACACATATTACATAGCATTATGGAGGTAACATACGCTGGCTAATTGATTCATCAAAGGCTGTGGTCAGTTTCAAATTAGCACAAGCCTGGCGGAATGATGAAGGGCGTTTTGTAGCAGAGAGGGATTAGTGTCTTCTGTTCTGTTTTTATGATGGAGATCAGGTTTCCAGAACAAATAGTATGAGATGGTTTTAGCTGGTGGGTGTTGAAGATAGAATTGCGGGGTAGGACTGAGGTTGGTCTTGGGATGAGGTTGGTCATGACCCTTGCTGTACTTGTATGAAAGACATCATTGTTCTAGGTAGATTGTGATTTGATCTACTAAGACAGTAGTGTCATTTTGAGGTGATTATCTTGCAATGAAATGTTGGATATTAGGCGATGTGGGTTTTAAACATAGGAACTGATATTTGGATCGGAGGTAAGATTTCTGAATGGTCATGTGGTAGGCATGTTTTACAGCAGGACTGAAAGCCTATTGTTTCTACATCCTGGTGTACAGATGACATCTTGGGTAAGTCTTACAATCTCCAGACAGTTGTGGTTATGATGATTGGAGTTGTCTGATCAGGTCATTACTGATCCATATACTCTCCATATTGTCTGACATTTGTAAACTGTAATATGATGGCTGGTTGAAAGGGCAGGGTTAGGAAGGGGAGAACCATTTTAAGATATCATGTGTTAAGTTTAGAAGATCATATTTTAGAAGAGGATATCCATATTTGTGTGATATGCATATTTTGCCAGTTTGCTGGGGAGTATGCACTTAGTAATTCTTACCTCTAACATGAAAATTGTTGGGCTTTCTGAACATATCATGTTGTATTGGCGGCGATAAAACTCTTATTATTGCATTTTCTACATGTTTGTTTGAAACTCGAACCCTAGTTTTCTGCTTCAGATGTGTATTGATGGTGATCACTGCCATTTCATTTCTGCCATCTTGTTCAATGTCATAAAAATTGTGAAATCTTTACGATGTTTTTGGATAATCATCTGAAACTAAATCCTGACTCTGAGTACAAAGTATCTGTTTCAGAGTAATGTAGCACGATCACTTCTATGTATTTTGTTGTTTTGTTTCATAATTACATTGTTGTTTGTATTTTAGATATAAGGTTTCTTCTCAGTAGGGTACTGGGTAGTCCAGCGTTTAAAGCATTAGCTTAAAGAACAAATTGATGAAGACATTGAGTGATGTTTTTAGATGTATGTTTTTGATAGTTATTCTCAAAAGGACGTTTTGAGTCCCCATGTTCAAAGCATTTGTTTAGAAGGACAAATGAATGGTGACGTTGAGCAATGTTTTTAGACATATGTGAAGTTTCTTATCAGATTGGTAATTGGTGGCGAGTGTTTTAGTATTTGGTTTGAAGGACACTGATTCAGATTTAATTGACCACGATGGTTGCAATTGTGTAAAGACCATTGCTGGAGGATGTTTCCAGCTGTTTTATTGCTAAGAAGGTAGCAAGATATACTCACTCACTCACTGAGACAAAGTTCCGAGTAACTGGAACATGAGTGTTTGATCATCTGGTAATGTCATCAGATCTGGGATGAGGGTATACTACAAAGGGAGATAACCATAGGGAGCAGGTTTGTGATTTATTGGGACATACATTCTCAGACAGACATTTATACTTGGGTGGAAGAAAAAGTTGTCGTGACTTCACCTCCCAACAGTTGTGCTGTTTCTGTGTTCTGTTAAGGTTAGATGTGTTGGATCTGGAGAGTTCAGCTTACTTTGGCATTTCAATCGGAAGTTAATTGACAGAGAAAAAGCCACAGAGTTTGATTTGCTTGACTTTTTGTCACAAAAATTCGAAGTGTGTTCCAAGCCTTGGAGTTTTGAGTATTGGATGACTGTTTTCACTGAAGTCAGGGTTGATTGTGTTATTTTGATGAGAAATAAATTGTAGGTTAACAGAATGTTGATGGGATCTCCACATCTTTTCAGTTTCCAGTTTCCTGACAGAAGTCTTTGGTGAGGCTCACTGTTGACCTTTGTATGACCTTGTTCTGGAACTGTTTTCATGTGTTTGTTATTTCTTCACTGTGGAAATATAAAGTCCTGTTTTGTACAGTCATTTGTTGACATGTATAATCTTAGGTATGCGTTGTTTTGGAGGGTAAATATTATGTTTTCGATGAACAGACCGGTATGTCTGTGTTATTCATACTGATCATGTTCAATGAAACCAAGTTTAGTGGAAATGCTTGATACATGATTCAGGATGTCCTCATCCTCATCTTGTATGAGTTCGTCTCAAACTACCAGCATGTCCACAAATCACCAGTTTCAAACTTTTCTTCAGTGAGATTGTACTTAAGGTTTTTAATTTTTGGGATAAGTTTTGTTTGTAACGAGCCTCAACATGATTCTAAGATGTGTATTTTTGTAGGTATGTGAGCATAGTGGCCCAGTCATCTTTGGTATGCCATTTGTTGTGCACAGTTATGTCCCTTAGATGTGCCAAAAACCTGAGATAATGGGTTTGAATTCTGGTGACCCTGACTATGTTTCTTCTGTTGTAAGCACCATACCAATGCTTGTTGATTGCACCAGAGTGGTAAGGGTGTAAGGCCAGCCTCAGTTTAGGCTTTCTTCCTGCGTCAAGTCATCAGTAACATGGAACATGTGATATCATGATGTAAACAGTTAATTTGTTACGCCTTATCTATGAAATGTCTTTGATGCATTATTGTATTTGTGTTGTTCTGTGTTTCAGATGAGTGGCCTAGATGTCGTCGGTGCTTGCCGAATCTAAGGGCTGGCTAGGCTGTGCCAAAGCCGTAATACTGAAAAAGGATGCGTCGAGTGACCACACTGACCACAGCATCATGAGACGGGCTCGTAGGCTGTGGCTTGTCGGGATCCCACTGACGCTGTTCTTCTATGTGGTGTTTTACTGCAACAGCGCCATTTGGGAGTCTCTCAACATCAACACACATCCCCTTGACAACATCATCACGGGTAGTGGATTCCGCAAGCTACTTGAGGAACGTGCACGACTTGCTGAAAAATTGCACTCGGGGGAGAAAATGCAGCGATTGCCGCAGTGTATTATCATTGGAGTTCGAAAATGTGGAACAAGGGCTCTGTTAGAATTTTTGGACCTTCACCCCACTGTGGAAATTGCCCAAGAAGAGGTCCATTTCTTTGACGACAGAGACAACTATGGACAAGGCCTTAATTGGTATTTGAAGAAAATGCCGATGACATTAAGCAACCAGTACACTGTCGAGAAGACTCCACGATATTTCATTGATCCAAGTGTGCCAGATAGAATTAAAAGTTTGAACAGCTCAATCAAACTGTTGGTGATTTTACGAAATCCAACGACTCGTGTGGTGTCGGATTATACCCAAATATACTACAACAAACTGGCCCGAAATGAGACACATGAAGATTTTGAGAGGCTTGTTCTTGACCCTTTTACTGGGGAGATTAATGTTCATTACAGGGCGATCCAGATCAGTATTTATCATCAGTTTTTTCCGAGATGGTTTTCCACATTTTCCAAGGAACAAATTCACATTGTGGATGGGGACAACTTAATAGTGGACCCTGTCTCCGAAATCTCTCAGATTGAAAATTTTCTTGGGATTGAAAACCGGATAACGTACAACACGTTATATTTCAACAAGACTCGTGGATTTTACTGTATGAGGTTCAATAAGACAGCGGAGAAGTGTCTGGGTGCGAGTAAAGGACGGAAGCATCCAGATTTGGAACCAAGTGTGATTAAAAAAATGAAAAGGTTTTTTCGTCCCCACAATGAAAGACTATTCCGAATATTAAAGAGACGGTTTAATTGGAGTTAACTGGAAGAAGGTGTTGCATTGTGGGAATACTAGGGATATGTGTATGTGTGAATGTGTGTTTATAAGCTGAGCTCAGACTATTGCAAATACTGACATATATATCAGGATGGGTTGAAGCTGCTTAATATTTAGGCAGTATTTTCCACTCACGGCGACCAAATGACATTTGGAATCAGGATGAATCATCTAAGACATGCTTTAGATATGCATCATGCAAGTTTTCTAAATATACAAAATTCAAAACATTATTCATTGTACAAAACATTTGCAGTCTCATATTAACTTAGGTCCAAATTCATAGACTGATATTTAAAAAAAAACCAATTGTGCAGTGTATATTTATTTTGAAATTTGGTCAAATGAAGCTGAAATTAGCTGAATAAAGTTAAATATTTTTATTAATTTAGCATAGGTCAAAACTCATAGAATGATAATTTCTAAAGAACAATTGCTGTTTATTTATTTTGATATTCTGTCAAAGGAATCTAAAATTAGTTGAATTACTTTGCATATTTTTATTATCTTTGGTTTTTAAATTCAAATGGCTGTTGTGTAAATGGAAGGGGTGCTTGTAAATATTTGGTATATCATCTGGTTTTATAACAAAAGTAATGCAAGAACTGAGCTCAAGTGACACATTGTTGATTCTGTGGGATGGTAATTTATTTATAATATATCTAGTCATGTGGACATACCCTCATCTGCAGATTTGTCTTGCAGTCTTTCTTGTGTAACAAATAAACTAGGCTTGAGACTCATCCGTTGTCCTTCCTTTGTCTTTGTTATGTAACTCTGAAATTGTTTCAAATACACTCTATATCTCAAATGCTTATCCCACAAGGTGGCTCTATCTGTCTTATCTTTTCTTTGCGTTTTCTCAAAGATCTTTGCGTTGTAGATCTTCCCTTCTGAATGGTATAACAGTTTCATTTAGATCTATCAATAACACCTCAAGCATTCAGAAGCAGCACCCTGAACAGACAATAGGTGTATGTAAAGTGTGAGTGCTCGCTTTATGTTTGGTGATTGACAGATGTGTCAACTAGTTCTTCTATGGGTCAAAATACCCGCAAAGGGTCAGTAGGTGCCAAAAAATAATTTACAACTCACTTGACAAGTACTTGATGCTTGTATTTATTCAGGAATCTGATCCCAGCATAGTTTATTCCGTGGGGGCACAAGGTACTCCTACTAAACATGATTGAATTGATGTTAAGAAAATTGTCATTGACATTATTTACTTTTTGTGACTCGTGTTAATAGCAAGTAACTTATTTCACTCAGGCCTTGGCTGGGATATGGATTTATGTGCCTCAATATTAATCTTCGTCTATAGCTGTACAGGAAACTCCTTGATAAAATTTCAGAATCAAACCAATTCATGGTTTGTGAGACTTTATGGACTTGATAAGTAAGGCACGAGTTTGGATGTAGCAGTCTTTTCACACTTGCACATACTGTGTCAGCTAAGTAGAAATGATTTTGTCTTCAAATGAGGTAACACATGGTAAATATGAAACGTATACACCAAAGAATGATCAGTCTTACCTGCAAAAATAGGTACCATTTGGCATAAAAGGCATAATAAATGTGACATTTGTATGAGTAATGACTGAAAATCAGTGATGACACCAGGTGTTCGAACAAAGGGTCAGCATAATATTTACTGGTAACGTAAAAGAAGTGTCCGTCCACTCATGTCCACGTGTCCACATTACCCAGCGGGTTCATCTGACAGGAAACTGCTGAAATGCTAAGATATTCAATCTTTCAATTTCAACGCCCAACATTGCCGATGTACTTTAGCAAGGTATTTTGATATTTGGAAACTATAGAAGGCTGTCTATGTCCAAGGATGTATTTGACTCTCAAAATTACAACATGATGAGACATTGGTCATCCCTTGCTTGGTTTTAAAGGTAAAATTATTTGGAGTTTTCGAAAAGATTTTTATGAACATGGTTAAACTATATATCTTTTGTGCATACATAAGGTCATTGTGTGGGTAGATATTTATGTGAATACTGTACAGAAAGTGTTAATGTGCGGGGGACATCTAAAATTGGGAATATGATTCAGTCTGAAATTCTTTACATTTCTAAATAGGAATCGCAATGGAAATATTTTGTATGCACAATTAGAAGTAATGTTGTGAAAACATTTTTGAAACATGAATTATAAGAGCTTATGAATTATATTAAAGGAAAATTACATTTTTATTGTACTTGGTGAGGTAAAGTGTGATTTTTTCCGGAAATATTTATTGTGACATTTGTGAAAAACACTTCTCAGTTCTCATTAAACCTGTTCATTTCATTCAATGGCATTCATGAAATACAGTCTTTTGAACAGCTGACATAATAAACACTGTGTCAAAAGTATGAAAAAAGGTTAGATTAATGTTAGTTTTGGGGCATCATATACTTGATATATGCTTTCAAAACAATCTATGACAAAGCTGTATATAAGTAAACATTGAATTTTTGGTTTTCAAATTTTAAGAAAATGTATTGGCTTGACATGAACCCTTAAAAAACATATTGGCTTAAAATATAAATGTTATTTTGCTTTCAAAACATTTTTTAATGATAAAATATCTCGATGTTATGGTTTACAAATGGAACAAACATTTGTGCATCAGAAACTGTTTGAATCATAGCACACCATCAGCAGAATATGGTCATGTTATAGTTCCTATAAATATCAACCCAGTACTTAAACAAATGAAGAATAACCTTCAATGTGTAGTCCGATTGGATTATTTCCCTGTATATTTCGCGTGTAATGCACAAGATATATGTAACTGTGGCCCCTGAATCTAGTCTATTTCATATTGATGTTTTGTTTTCATGTGTCAATCAGCTGTATATACCTCGCCTTGTAGGGACGTAACGCAATCTTAGCTCATGTACATATGCTCGTGGGAAGCAGTTTATTAATAATAGACTGTGTCATTATCATAATATGAATAAAGAAATATTGATGCCATGATGGTGTTGTGTGTTATGTTGGGTATATACTGTTAAAGCAAGAGTACACTCACTGATAAATGGGGCAGTTTGGTAGCCAAGTGGTTAAGGTGTACACTCGTCGGAATGCGTTCGGAAAGGTTGGAATTCCCACATTGATTGAATGTGATAAGGAATATTGCTGCTGTTTTCACTCTCTCACTCACTCACTCACTCACTCACGCACTCACCAGACATGTCTTTGTTACTACAGCTGCTGCTTACAGACTTATGACTGTGTTGAACCAACATGATAATTATTCAATCGATCAAGAATTGTTTTTGTCCCAAACGAGATATTCTTAAAGCTATTACAGTTTAATTATTAGACTTTCATTCCCACCTGCCTCCTGAGCAAACACTCCATTTGATATTATTTTGTTGCTGAAAGTCCTTCAAAGAAAAGTGCTGTTAGTGTGGCCTTGTCTTTGACTTCGTGAGATACAGGTACAAACATAGTGCTATGAAGAAAGTTCCCTCTTCTTATGGATCTTATCTCATCGCCAGTTAGTAAACACAGATGCTTTCAACAGTTTGTTTAAAAGACAAAAATAAGAGACAACAGTAACATGTTCAGTGTCGTTAGACAAAAATAAGAGAAAACAGTAACATGTTCAGTGTCGTTAGACAAAAATAAGAGAAACAGTAACATGTTCAGTGTCGTTTATAACATTAAAAAAAAAATCAAAATGGCTTCATTTATTCTGGCCTTATCTTCAATCTTTATGTTTGCATCATGTAAATTTCTTCTTTTTCCTTCTATATAATTTTCTTTTTTTAAAAGCTGAATATAATTCTCTCATAATGTCAATTTGATTTTGCATTTAATTGTTTTTCAACTCCCATCAGTTTGGTTTAAAAATAAAATAAAAATGAAAATAACAGAGTGCATTTTAAATTATACACAAATTGACTAAACAAGGCCTATGTTTGTATCAAGACATCTGTATCATTACATATAATGTTTCAAACTTTCACATTTTCTACACCTCATTCCCACTGCACCATAACACAAAGAGCCTGAGATCCCATACCAATGAACGCCACCATTGATTGATACCCCCCATCAAGCATCTCCCCCTCCCTTGCAACCCCCCCTTTTCAAGATGTATATTTACACAATATATTACACTGTGTTGGCTGCAATAACTTGTGTCTAATCTAATTTCAGTTAATTTTCACTCTTATTAATGTGTTGCCAAGGCAACCGATCCCCCTATAACCAATATTGCCATTCACCATTGAGTTAGTGGCAGGCTTGAGGAACTGCAGTCCATATTACTTGATCTGTAGGCTACAACAGCTGAACACAGTGTCTGTAGCAAAGCTTGTATTGTGCTTCCCCATTGTTAATGCTTGAATGGATGAGTTTATTTCTTCATCAATATCTGGTGAGGGATTCACGCCATTGATCCCCTTGAACTGCTTGACCTCTGGGCTCGTGTAAGTAATGACTGCTTAAAGTTGGATTAGTGTGTGCGCGTGGCGTGGGGTGGTGTGGCGTGGCATATGGAGAGCTGGGGTGGGTGTTGAGTGTTATTGTAGAGACATTGTTGGAGGGTCTGGTGGAGTGAGTGAGTTTAGTTTTATGCCGCACTCAGCAATATTCCAGCTATATGGCGGCGGTCTGTAAATAATCAAGTCTTGACCTGACAATCCAGTGATCAACAGCATGAGCATCGATCTGCGCAATGGGGATACGATGACGTGTGTCAACCAAGTCAGCCAGCCTAACTGCATGGGTCACTGAAGATCAATATTCTAACCTGGACGGGTCTGGTGGAAGTGCTGTTACAAGGTGGACAGTGATCTGTTAAGTCTTGGTGTTAAATGAGACATTTTTCTACTTTTTCTCAAATTTGGTAAAATTTCTCTTATTCTGTGATGTTTTCCCTTAGAACAATAAATATTTCTGTTCAGTTTAGGACCAATTTCTATCACCTTCCTTTGATGTAAACTGATATGTTTATCCAAATTAGACAAGGTTTTAAACAAATTACACAAAGATTGCACTTAGTGTCACAATAACCAGGCTATGATTGTCATCCCTACCTTCTTCATCACCATGAGGCGTTGTGGGTAGCCTAGTGGTTAAAGCGTTGGCTTGTCATGCAGAAGACACGAATATTGCTTTAAGCAGCATAAAACCATACTCACTTACTCACTCACTCATCTCCATAATTCCCACTTCACATAACTACCTACAGATGATAAACACTCTTACCAACTCTTACTAACACATATAACACACATTAATGTGCAGAGTTGCCTTTAACAGTGTCTTTGAAATAACTTATTGGATGCCTTTCAACTTAAATTCAGAAAATCGATTCAAATCAAATAATATATGTATTGTGACCTTCAAATTGAACAGTTTTTGACGAGGGATTCAGATGTTTTTGATTGTCAATTTAAAGCCAATAGACACAATTTCAGAAATGTCAGAGGTATTTTCATATCTCTGTTGACAGAATAACGACAACGTCCAGCAAATGAGAGGAGAATGTAGACAAGGCCACTTTCTTTAATAGCCATCATTAATGTATTCGCTAGGGAAGACAAATTGATAAGACAGACTGATTGAAAGGGTCCCATTAATTGTCTTTCTAACAAACCGTGGTGTATGTTGGTAGAATTCTAAGAGGTGTCTGAAACTGCTGACCCTGTTTAAAGGCTACGTTATGTGCATTGTATACTCTCAAATATTGAAGTAAGTGTGAGGTAAGTTAACTGCTTTGAAAAGTGGATTAACAAAAACATTCAACTTTCTTTTAAGAATTAAATCTAAATCTAAGATCTAAATGATCTTTCCTGAAAATCAGACATGTATATATCATGGAAAGACATGATTACCCAGGGCTCCAGATAAGGGTCGTATCGGTGTGTGTACGGATAAAAAAATATGCATGATACGGATGGACATGTTTTGGAAAAAGTAGCAGATACGCACCACTGCAATGGTGTACGGTCTTAGAATCATTTACAGTTGTATTTATTTGAAAAAAGTATTGTTTTATTGTTCATTGACCTGTTTACACAGGAGTGGCAATGTTGTGGTGCATATATGAAACAAAACACAAGATTACTGATACTCCATTAAATTCCATTCAGTACTCTAAATGTACTCTTAAAGTTTTCCAGTACTCTTATATTGAAAAAATAAGGAGTACGTACTCCTGATGTTGAAAAATTATCTGGAGCCCTGATTACCGGTACATATTTCTGTTCTGTTACGACAATAATTCCCCAAATGTAGTGCTTTCTGCATTATCTGGCTCATATACTGTGGTATTTCTGGGTAAAATGGCATTTCAAGTTTTCATTACAAATGTGCTAAAAATATGCTTGGTCATGCTGAACTCCTGAACATGGCATTGCGCCATTTTGTGTTCTGGCAAATTAAGAATTGAAGTAAATGAGACGGAGAGAGTCAATTTCTTGTAATTAAGTTGCCAATTATAGAGGTTTTGATTAACACGGTTGTTTTGTTTAATAATGACCGTGTCTATCCAAAAGTCTCTGTTACACGCCTCTCCCAACACTGGCTTGGGCACAGTGGGGTAAAGGCGCTGGCTTGCCACACCAAAGATCAGGTTCGATTCCACACATGGTTACAATGTGTCAAGCCCATGTCTGGTGTCCCTTGCTGTGATATTGCTCGAATATTGCTAAAAGTGATGTAAAACCACACTCACTCACTCACTCTGGTGTCCCCCGCTGTGATATTGCTGGAATATTGCTAAGTGATGTAAAACCATACTCACTCACTCCAACACTTGCTTATAGAAGGACTGACTGACTGAGTTTGGTTTTACGCCGCTTTTAGCAATATTCCAGCAATATCACGGCGGGGGACACCAGAAATGGGCTTAACACATTGTGCCCATGTGGGGAATCGAACCCGGGTCTTCGGCGTGATGAGCCAACGCTTTAACCACTAGGCTACCCCACCGCCCCGCTTATAGAAGGAAAAAACAAAGGGACTTGATTTCAGGGTCACCGGTTAGATATCACAGGCATGTGATCGGGGATGTCCCAAGTTATGTAATTTCATTATTCCATCCATGTTTTTTTACTCTGTAGTTTATTTCAATACACCAATACAATTAGATATATATTTATGGAAACAGTTACAATGCAGTGATGGTTTAATTGAAATATATATGTGAAATTAACTGGACGTTGTGTCAGATATTTGGAAATGATCTCGCTTGGCCTTACTGCCGGTTCTCCATTGAAGGAGACGGTTGTTTTTTCCTCCAGTCGTGGCAATCATTATCAAAGTGAGGCTCATTTAAACAATTTGCAGAAAATGTACAGGGTTAACAAGGAATTCATTTACAGTGGAAGTTCATATACAAAAATAGTTCTTGGAACAGTTATTTTGGACTGAATGTGAAGCTTCACTGTCAAGCAACATCAGTGGCTATCTCTGCAGACTTTGCCCAGATCAACACACAGTGATATAACTGGAAAACTCTTCAAAGCAGTGTTGAACCAAACTCACTCATTAAATTTGCACACACACAAACCTTGTACAGATATTTTTCATGCGGTTTAATATTTTTAGGCAATCTGATTAACCTTAAATTGGTTGACTGTTTCTTTGTATTTCTTTGCCATGAAAACCAACCGTATTCATTAATACAGAGTGTGCCTGGAGTCCGAACTTCAGGATATGTAGCATCTGCTGACTCACTTCAATACCTCTTACTGGTATCTCCAGAAACCTTTTTAATTACTTAAAATAAAATGATGTGTCCCAGAAGATTCCAGCCAATCAAAGTCCATCATTTGAAGTGGTAAATAGGATAATACAATCATTTTTTTCCTCACACAATCAATGGTTAAAGCATGACTGGTCTTGCTACAAACTTTTGTCATCTTGTGAGGTTTAACTTGTCTTGCATGTAACATCTTTTAAGAAACTTTCTAAAATGTTACTGGTTACTAATGCAAATAATGCCATGTGTTTTAAGAGAGCCTGGTGGTATTTGAAACAGTCGAACATTTCGAACTGACTTTAGAGGCAGTGGGGAGCTTTGCAGTTGAAGTGTTTGCTAATCAAAGGTCAAGGTTTGAGACTAAACATGGTACAGTCAAACCAATTTCTGGTAATCCCCACAGTGTTATTGTTGGAATAATGTTGAACGAGGTGTAAAACTGGACTCACTTTCTCAAACTGATATGTAAAACATTATATATGGTCTTCAGGTAGCTATATTACAAGTGACAGATGGTACATCATATATTGTGGGGGCGGTGGGGTAGCCTAGTGGTTAAAGCGTTCGCTCGTCACGCTGAAGACCCGGGTTCGAATCCCCACATGGGTACATTGTGTGAAGTCATTTCTGGTGTCTTCCGCCGTGATATTGCTGGAATATTGCTAAAAGCGGCGTAAAACCAAACTCACTCATAAATTGTGGCTGAATCTTGCTGAGTGTATGATAAAATTTCTTGGTTCATACAGCTTATAGTCACCAGCCATGTTAGGTGCTGAAATTTACTATGCAGTGAACTGTTTTATGATCTTGATGATACAACAAACGTGCTACTTTTTGTATACTTTATTCGAAATGTGCATTACAAACTACGATTTTAACAATCTAAAATTAGTTGTCCCTTTCGGTTTGTTATAACTAGTTTACTGCAATAATGATAATAGATCCATAATTTGTTAGGTATATCATTATAGAGTTTGTTAAAGCCCTGTTTTCAATGTCAGTTTCCTGGAACATAACCATTCATACAAACAGTCTTGTGTTTCTGGATGTAGTGTTGGTTGTTTTTTGTAGTCAGCCTGGTTGTAGATATATTCAGCTGGCCTTGGAAGATAATACACACAATGAGTTTATCTAACAGCGTATTGCTTCGGGCCTTTCATCTCATAGACAAACTGGACGAAGCACGGAATAACATTCTCACCAAGAGGCAGGTAATTGGGGGACATGGTATTCCACTTAACAATGGAGGCACCTCACACGTGTCTCCACTCGGGTATTGTTGCAAACACAGCTCTCTCATTTACGGCATACATGTGGATATCCACCAAAGATTAAATGCTATTTTGGGTGATGAGGATCATGGATGTGTTTGCATTGTGGAATTAAATGATTGGAAGAAGATTTTATGATGCTTCATTAAATTTGCTTTTGAATGTCATTGAGAATGGCCATTGGGCAGGTGAGCGGGCTTGGTCTTTCCGTCACATGGTTGTTTTGGGTAGGATTGAGGTAAATCAATATCTGAGCTAGTTTAATTCATATGATACAAAGAATAGTTTTGTTTGAGTAATTTGTGGTGCGTACATTGCAGCGTACATTGCAGTAGTCTCTGTTTTGCATTCACACAACAACGTACATTCCATGTTTTTCTTGAGTGAGTGAGTGAATGAATGAGAGTGACTGAAGAAGGACGATGCTTCTTTGCTGTTTTTAGCAATATGACAGTGATATCCTGACACTAGGACTCCACACATTCTATCCATGTGGGGACTCGAACACCTGGTGTGACAAGAGAATGCTTAAACCACTGGACTACTAGCTTTACTCTCATGTATGTATCGTGCCCAATTCTCAGAATTGCTTATTCCCTGGGTTTGGGCAACTGCTTTGCCTGCTTCTATAAGTAGGCATAGGTGGGCAGTATTATCTCTTCCAATCTCCTGCTGGAGTTGGCAGAACATGAAGGATGTGTCTCAGTGATAGTCTGGGTAGGCATAGGTGGGCAGTATTATCTCTTCCAACCTCCTGTTGGAGTTGGCAGAAGGATGTGTCTCAGTGATAGTCTGGTGCAGGGGAGGTAACTCTTCTTCTTGAGACATTGGATGCAAATAGATCTTCTGGCCACTCAAGTTTTCATTTACCCCCTCTGATACTACTACTGCTCTCTATTTCTGTTTTTGCTTCTACTACAGCTACTACAGCTACTACCACTACTCCTGTTGCTTCTGCTAAACGAAGACATTTCTGAAACTGTCAGTTCATTCTGACAATGATGGGGGAGGTGGGGTAGCCTAGTGATTAAAGCGTTCGTTTATTACGCGGAAGACCCGGGTTAGATTCCCCACATGGGTACGATGTGAAGCCTATTTCTGATGTCCCCCGCCATTATATTGCTGGGATATTGCTAAAAGTGTAAAACTCGCTCACTCACACTCTGACAATGATGTATGAAGTTAAGAGGGACAATAAACAGGTTCTCCTTCACCCAGGTAATCATTGCTACACATGTTATGGTGCCTCAATGATCGATCACAATAGATGATTGATCAGTTGCCCTGTCATCATACAGGCTTCAATTAATTATAAATATTCATTAGACCTACCATTACAAATAATTACACCAATCTGTCATTATCTTGTGAGGAAAAAGTGTAAATTAATATCAAATCATTTTGAAAACAGGTTCTTTTACATTTGCTTTCTTGTAAAATACACAAAACCTGTTATGATTAATGATCAGTCAGTTGGAACAAGGAATCTATAACCATCGATCAATGACTGCATCCGGACATATTCATCTCACTAATAGGGAGCCATTCTGAATGATGTCATGCGATTGGGAAGGATGGAAATGCAGTGAGTCTTTTTCTTGGAGTGAACCTTAATAAGTCAGTGATAATGGCAGAAAAATGTAGCTAAAGAAAATATTTTCTCGTAACATTCATCCTCTTACAAAACAATGATAAATGAATTATAAGACCGCCAGTTCAGTTACTGTATTCACCATGATAAATTCCTTTTGCTAATATTTAAACACTCCATAACCCAAGTTTTTCTTTGTAAATACAGTTTTAGTAAGTGCCCCTACTTACACAGACAGCTAATAATAGCTGCAATGTTGCTGATGTGGCTTAAAGCAACATTTACTCACTGCTAAAACAGAAACAGTCACATGCCAGTCAATATTTTCTCACACATATGAAAGATTTATCCATAGAAATAGTCAATTAAGAAGGAAAAATAATTGCTGTATATCTATTATCAGAGGGGTCTGTGGGGTAGTCTAGTGGTTAATACGTTTGCTTGTCATGCCAAAGACCTAGGTTTGATTCCTCACATGGGTACAATGTGTTAAGCCCATTTCTGGTGTCCCCCGCCATAATATTATAGGAATATTGCTAAAAGTGGTATAAAACCACACTCACTCACACACTATTATCATACTTTTAGTTTCATCGTTGTTTAGACTCAGTTTGTACAAAACAATTCGAAAAGTGAATTTCATCGGATGACATTTTCGTTACCAATGTCTCGATTTCCGATAAACCTTTTATGTACTTTAGAAAGGTCCTGATCAAACAACTTATGAGCAAGTGTCGTATGACACTATTTGAAATGTTTGTGTGAATGGCATGCTTCATTGTCCCTAAAATGTTGTAAAACATAAACCCCAATGGTTGGAGCTGCTGGAATATTACTCAACATGTATTGAAAGTTGATTCCTGGAAAGTGAAACTCTTTCATGAAATCTGGATCAAGTGATTTTATGCTTATGTTCAATCTGGAAAAACTAATCCGGTGTTTTTGTTTCAGATGAACCATGACTTGGAAGATGCCCACCCGGTACCATCGTATTGCTGACATGGATAGCACTGCCCAAAGGGCCTGCAAATGGTGTCCCAAGTTCTCTCGCTACAAGCTCGCCATCCTCATCATCCTCGTCCTCTCCATCATTTTCATCTCCCTGTCTTGTCTGAACTACAACTTCATACATTCGGCCACTCTCTGTTTGTTTTCCTTCAGAGATGGGGACAATACCAGCTTAAGTATTGACGATGGCATGCATTTCCATCATGCAAAACGCCGCCTACCTCAGTGCTTGATCATCGGTGCTCGCAAAGCAGGGACACGTGCCCTGCTCCAGTTCATTCGTCTCCATCCAGATGTCCAAGGAGCAAGTTTGGAGGTTCATTTCTTTGACAGGGACAATAACTACCAACTTGGCTACGACTGGTATCGCCATCAGATGCCGTACTCTTTCAAGGATCAAGTCACAATAGAAAAGTCACCAGCGTATTTTACAGAAAGTGTTGCACCAGAGAGAGTTTACGTTATGAATAGCTCGATACGTCTGCTGCTCATTGTTCGTGATCCAGTGGAGAGGACTATCTCTGACTATGCCCAGTTGTTGGATAACAAAGTTAAGCGACACAAGACGATGCAGTCGTTCGAGAAGCTTGTCCTGGTTCCTGATACGGGTGAAATTAATAAGTCTTACATTGCAGTAAAGCGCTCAATATACCATCGGCATTTGTTGAAGTGGCTTCATTTCTTTCCTCTCAAGCAGATTCACATTATTGATGGAGACAACTTACGGGTTAGGCCTTGGGCTGAGATTCACAAGGTGGAGTCTTATCTTGGGCTGGAACACAAGATCGGCAAGAATCGTTTCGTGTTCAACACCACACGAGGGGTGTTTTGCACGCTCACAGAGGAGGGTGAAGAACGATGCTTGGCTCATGGGAAAGGCAGGAAACACCCAAACATCAGTGAAGTGGTGATGCACAAGCTACGAGCTTTCTTTCGTCCATATAATGAAAAGTTCTTCCGTATCATCAAAAGGAGATTTCAGTGGTAGTTCTTGGAGTACGGTTCATTGCTAATGTCCAAACAGTATCCATGGATTGATTTTAATTTTTTGTTTTTTTTAAACATTTAGCCTTTTTAATTGAACGTTATTGATACCTTCTTTAAAGTAGTTATTCTTGCAAATCAAAAGAGTTTATTATTTCATGGAAAATGTCATTTTTGTGGGATTGATTCTGACTCATATCACATGACTGATGATATTTATGTAATGGTCTTCAGAAGGAGTTACTGCCCTTAGATGTGTAGAACCTGCCATATTTCATTGTGTAGGAAGATATGGCCTTTCTTACCTCTATTGTAAGAGAGGAACAATTGATATACGCAGTGACCGAAGCCCTAGTCAAACTACTGCGTATTCATGTGTATATTTTGAATATTATTAATGTGTATTTTTTACACCCTGTCCTGGCCCATCCCTTTCCAGCAATTGGCCTGATTTTTGAAAATCTGCGTTATCAGATCAATTCATTATGTCAAGTAATATTTAATAATTGAATGTGAAACTTTCAAAGGCAGGTAGCTGATGTTCAGAACAATTGAAGCATTGAATAAAGTTAAAGTTTTAGTTCCACCCATTTTCCTGACAGCAATTTTTCGGAATTGTCAATTTCTGTTACTGACAGGATCTGACAGGGATGGCAATTTTCTGCTGATCCGCGGATTTCCGCTGATTTTATTTCATTTGTTCAATTGTGAATTGTCTAAATCCATTGAGAAACCCTCAACTCGATGACACAATATTACGTTTTCAGCTGAAAATAGATTTTCCTGTTGCCATCCCTGATCTTATGTTGGCTGTCCCGTGAACATTGGTGGGTGTGTTGCTGTACCATAGAGTAGTGTGTTTCTTGCTGTGTATGTCCAGAAGTCATTCAAGGTTTACAACATATCACATAATAATATATTCACAAAATATCCAGGTTCACTAACGACGATTTGTTGCATTTTCGTTGCTTGAAAACCAAAGGACAACAGATAACAAAGTCACATTTTGTCAAAGAATCACAAATCACCAACAATCTTTTTCAGCTTGTTAGACCATGTTTCATTTTATTGGTTGCTGTTATGTCAAAACAGAATGTTTTGATTTCAGACAAAATGTGCAATACGCCATACATGAGCAACTAATCATTGTTGCATCCACAAGACATCTATTTTGCCATTGTTGTTTGAATATATGTATTTTATAGCTTTAACTTGATGTCGATACCATCAACACACTGTTGTGTGTAAACAAATTCAGATTCAACAGGCAATTTGAAAGTATTTTAAAAGATACTTGGTATCAATTTATTTTATTTGTCAGATGATTGTGTAGTTGATTAAATACATTAATGCTCACAAAACTTTAACAGAATCAGCGTTTGATTCCTCCAACCAGCTGAGCTGCAGTAACAGGTTCCAAGGATTGTTTGGATTACCAGTTCCAGTCTTTGGAGGAAATGATATGACGAAAAAATATCTTATATATTTCCTCATAATTTGTCAAAATTTGGTTTAAAAAAAAAATGTTTTTAAGGTAATATTTCAGAAAGTTTTAAATGATATATTGTATGCAACAGTAAATGAGGTGATTTTTAAAATTTTGCTATAACTGGCTTGTGGAATAAAACCCCCATTGCCTTTTATTACTCATTAAAGCCTAAGCCACAAAATGAACAAAATATGTCGATATCCCTTTGATAAGATAGTCTTGTTCAGGGATTACGTAAGAAATTAATGAAGTTTTAGTCCATGCCTTGTATATTTTTGTGTACTTTAGTCAACAGTAGAGAAGAAGAAAATACACAGGTGCCTGTAAAAGTTACATTGCTGGACTAGTTCACATTGTCAATACATTGTACCATAGTTTCTACCATTACATAATGTGCCACAGGAAGTGTTTTCTCCGTTCTTCCAGTGAAATTACTTGACAATACAGAGTTTGGTGAAGATGGTACATTTGCATGCTGTATCACAACTAAAGTCTAGCGACTAACCGGATCGGGTGGTCAATCTCGCTGGCTTGGTTGACACGTCATCGGTTCCCAATTGCGATGCTCATGCTGTTGATCACTGGATTGTCTGGTCCAGACTCGATTATTTACAGACCGCCGCCATATAGCTGGAATATTGCTGAGTGCAGCGTAAATCTTAACTCACTCACTCACTCACTAAAGTCTAACATACATATATCCCCTTGGTGTTTTCGAAAGGACTAAAGTCACAGATTTTTCAAAAATCGTGATTTTTTAACTGTATATCATTACTTCCTGTGTTAGCAGGTCTCATCAGTCTAATTCTCAGGTTTGATCAGGGTTTGATATGGTCTTAGATTTAGACCAGAACGTGTTTGTAACTTGTAAATGTTGAATAACAAATTTTTGTGGTCAGCTATTTCAGATTGAGGAGAAATTAGCAAACTTACAAATTTTAAGTGATGCACAAATATACATTTGACAGTAATCAGCTGAAAGTGATTTGATTGCCTGTGAAACTGCAATATTTCAATGATATTTTTTACACTTCTGCTGACTGTATGTGACAATATCAGGAGAGTTGCTTCCCTTACATTATGAAATTGATCCATATCTTAGCTAGTGTTGTGAGCAAGTATATTTGTTTTGCATCATCGTTCTCACATATTGTTTCAAGGAAAATCAGGGAAAACTCAGTTCAATAGATCCATAATACAAAAAAACGTTATTGCTGTATATAGTGATTGAAAGGAGGTGGAATAATTTGTGTTCTGAATAGCTGTTTTCCTCACAAAGGTTTCAGAAAAAGAAATATGACTGAATTCATTGCTTTTGTTTGTTAGGTAATCAGAGTTTTAATGCCACCTTTATTTGTGTCAAAAATAATACTCTATGCAGATATTTTATTTGTCTTGAAAATATCAACTTGCTGATCACGTTTGTAATGATGATATAAGTAATCAAATATGTTTGCTTTAGAAACAACTTTGGTTTACAGCATTCCAGTAATTCATACTAACTTGTAAGATTGACTAACACATTAAAGTTCGAAGTAGTCTAGAAAAAAACCCAGTTGATTCATTACTTACGTGAATTGTTAATGTTTTCCACTTGAAGAGAATACAAGCTTTTAAAACAATTTTAGAACCTAAATATTAATTTTAAGTCAGCTAATATAGGTGTTGCTCCTTCCCATCTGACAAATGGGCGGTGGGGTAGTCTAGTGGTTAAAGCGTTGGCTTGTCACGCCGAAGACCCGGGTTCGAATCCCCACATAGGTACAATGAGTGAAGCCCCTTTCTGGTGTCCCCCGCCGTGATATTGCTGGAATATTGCTAAAAGCGGCGTAAAACCAAACTCAGTCGGTCCCATCTGACAACGAAGCTACCTGTCTGACCCTAGACTGGTCATCACCCTGATTCAGGAATAGAAGTAAGTGACTGTTTGAAATACTTTCATGAGACGCCCACACCAGGGATAAAGTGGTACAAGGTTGCTACCAAGATAATTTCCAATGTAATACATGAATTTGTCAAGTATTTGTGGAGTAATTTTGATGTCAAATCAAACAGAAATTTCTTTTCATCGTGGAGAAACTGACCAGTGTATTTTTTTCACGAGACGTTTCTTTTCAAATGTCATGAACAAAACCACCCTGCCCCAAGGACAGCAATCAGATGGTTATTTTTCCTGAAGCATTGCATGGTTCCTATGAAAGAGATTAGTTCTATACTGAACTGTGTTGAACAGTGCAATTTAACATTAGGCCCTTTTTTTTCATTACTTGGTTTTCGGACTTTTAAGAAAAATTATTAGCTAGTAGGGAGGGGAAAAAAGAGAAAGAAAGAAGAAAAAACGGGGGAATATGGAGATGTTATTTACGCACTTGAGTACATCATATATGCCAGGTGCAGCATGCCAGCTGAGCAGTCTGTGGCATTACTATTCTCTCTGTTCCACAGGCAAAAGCGAATATGTCTTACTACTCAGCTCAGAGAATAAAATATTTGAAAGGTATAATTTGCTATTTTTTCTCTCTTTTTTTTTTCACTTTCTTTGTTTTTAATCAGGTCGGCGGTATATACCTAATGGCAAAAAAAATATGCAAAAACGATTATTATTTTTTCCCACTTTCTTCACATTTCGGGTCGGCGGATCCGTAAACCAAGTAATAAAAAACAAAGGCCTTATTGTGTGGTAGTTCACATGTCCATAAATCTGAAGTGTGGTTTACCTATGTTTGCATCAGGTGTGTTCTCACACCTGAATGACCAGGTATCAACAATTGGTTGTAAATTCTAGCCTGCTTGAGTCTATACATATTTACAGTGTTGTAGTTCACATTTCCATAGATCAGAAGTATGGTTTTTATCTTTCTTTGCATCAAGTGTGTAGAAGCACCTGAATTTTATGCCATGACCAGTTGTCGACAGTTGGTTGTAAATTCTAGCCTGCTTGAGAGTCTGCATACATATTTAGATACCCGGTATTGTTGACTCTCTATACATAATTGGACATTATAGAGTATGTAGACTATTTTAATATAGTGATGTCTGGACCTTTTGGATATTGATGTGTCTGTGTAGATAACAAGCCCCTGTAGCGATGCCAACATATGCAGGACTTTATTACTAGAGGGGCGGTGGGGTAGCCTAGTGGTTAAAGCGTTCGCTCGTCACGCCGAAGGCCCGGGTTCGATTCCCTACATGGGTACAATGTGTGAAGCACTTTCTTGTGTCCCCTGCCATGATGTTGCTGGAATATTGCTAAAAGCAGAGGAAACCATTCTCACTCACTTATTACTGTAAGATTTATATTTTGGATCTTACAAGATATTTTAAGAACATTCAGAAATTAACCATATGTTTTAAGATTATCATGAAACACTTTTATTTGCTACATCTTTAAAAACAATTTTGACCACCACCAGACCCAAACACTGAAGTAATTGCCAAAATATCAATTTTTGATTTTAGCAGTGTGACTGAGATTGCCTTTCTGTTTGGTCTCAGAATGTTTTATAAGGAAGGGGTCAGTGTTTCAAGAGTTGTTCTTGCCTGCATATTATCCCATTAAGTGTTGATAGTTTTGTTGTGTATCAGTGTTGATTAATGGATAAACATTTATGAGAATCAGTGTTTCAAAATTGCAAAAAGGCTACCTACAAAACGCTAATGCCTGTTCATCACTACTTGGAGGCAGTGGGGTAGTCTAGTCGTTAAAGCGTTGGCTCGTCACGCGCCGAAGACCCTGGTTTGATTTCAAACATGGGTACAGTGTGTGAAGCCCATTTCTGGTGTCCACTGCCGTGATCTTGCAGGAATATTGCTAAAAGCAGCATGAAACTAAACTCACTCATCACTACTCTAGGACACAGAAATCAACCTGAAAGAGCTTTGTTGTATAATCATCGTGTCTGGATATTCTTAGTGTCTTGTTTTTGTGTTGACTAAGATACACTCTCTGTGGATTGGTTTGACTACTGTTGTTCATGATCTGATTGGATGTATTCACATTTTACTATAGAGCAATCTAAACATGGCTGTTTGCCTTAGATTACATTAGTGGAATCAGCCTTGAATAGACAAGAAAGTTATCTAGTCAAGTGTTTTGACAAAGAGAAGGTTGTCCTTTATTAGCCTCATTTGTAAATTGGTAATATGTTCACAATAATGATGGTACCAGGTAACGTTACACCAACAAAAAGGCTTATTGCTTTACTGTTTTATTTGTTTGTTTGTTTGTATTTTAACACTGCAGTAAGTTATATGATCAATGTGGTCTTTAAATATTTGGGTCAGAAAAATAGCCCAGACAATCCAGTGATTGACATCATGAGCACAGATCTTTGCAATAGTGTATAAAATAGTTTTGAAATATGGCCTGTCCAAGGACTGGCTGTCCAAAAAATGTGACCGGTCCTGAACAAACACAGCCAGTCCCAAAAACTAAAACAATGAAAAAATGATAGATAAGACGAAGTTCAAACCAAGTTAAGTTTATTTGTTCAAATATTTCCCCTGACCAAAGGATGACCTTACTTATTTAATAGGGGCGGTGGGGTAGCCTAGTGGTTAAAGCGTTGGCTCGTCACGCAGAAGACCCGGGTTCGATTCCCCACATGGGCACAATGTGTGAAGCCCATTTCTGGTGTACCCCGCCATGATATTGCTGGAATATTGCTAAAAGCAGCATAAAACCATACTCACTCACTCACTCACTACTTATTTAATAGTCTGTCCTTCACAAAAATTGACCGTCAAGGACGGTGGGACGGGCTATGATTTGTACACTGGCAATAGGGATGTGATGACATGACCGACCATATTGTCCCCCTCTTATCATTGGTTTGCTTAGTCCAGTGTGATTATTCGCTGGACTGTGTGATGTAGGTACAATGTTGCTGACTGCTGTGTTTAGCAACCCTCACTATCCCACATTTCTACTGAGGCTGTATCGTGACGATATGGACAGCTTCTGTTGATGCTTTGTGCAGCTTGTGGATACTCAGGAAGTAGTGTTTTGTATGTGCAATGACTGTCGATTCTGTTACCTCAGACAATGACGACATGGGAGATGCTCCAAATGTTGTATCTTTCAATGTGGTGTTAGCTGGACACTTAGCCAAAATTGTATGTTTCTAGCTTGAGCAGTCGTGATTCAGTATATACTGTCTTGTCATAAGGTGTCATTAGAGTTATCTGCCCTTCTTATGTACAAATCTTACCAATCTAACAAACACCTGTTAATATGATGGAAACCTGTGTCAAATTATGAGCCATTGTTTTGGATATATACCACCATTTGAGATTACCTTGACACTGATTCCAGAGAAACTGAAATACAATGTACTACATTATGATGTTTGTAACTGACAACAGTAGGACTTGAACATTTAAGTTTATAATCTACAATTCAGAAAATATACTAATATACGATATTATTCTGCTTTTTATGTAACTCTTCAGGTTGTTCATGATTTTAGGAAGCAGACTCTTGTACTCTCAAGCTCTTGGACCCACAATATTTTTCCTCATTACTATATTCTTGCAAACTATGTACTTAGTGCTTTAGAAAGGGTAATGGCTTGTAGTGTGTGTTGCATGTGCATATAAAGTCCTGCGATTAGAATAGTTTCCATTCCTGCATATTTTGTCTTATATTCTGTATTTTCTCTGACGAATAGCTCAGTGCCCATATACTCATATGTGTCTCTCACCAATGAAGAGATTCTGTTATCTGTGAAATAAAGGACATAATAGATATTGCCTTGGTTTTATTTATGCTTTTGAGTTGCACAGCATATCTACAGAAAACATCCCAATTGCTTCAAGAAATCCAAAGGCAGTGACAAGATACCGTGAGAGTGATACAGAGTAAGTGGAAACAGACTTAACGATATGCGGAAGACCCGGGTTCGATTCCCAACATGGGTACAATGTGTGCATCCCATTTTTGGTGTCCTTTGCTGTGATATTGCTGAAAGCAGCGTAAAACTAAAACTCACTCACTCATTTACAGTAAACTAAAATGCTGTACATGCTGTGTAGATTTGTTCTGCTGATTTATGCAAAGTGTGTGCAGCCAGTTATATATTCTTCTTCCAAAAAAACACAAAATTATCATATTTAATATATAACACCAACGCCAGAGAATAAGCAGTCTTTATTATCCCAGGAAATATTTTCCACTGGACGGACATCAAAACGGGTAAAAAGTACATGAATGGATTAATGATCGAGTTCCTCAAAGGTATGTTTGAGGCTGTCTTATCATAGCAGTACTGACATAGATTGGGGATTTAACACAAACCAGACAATCAAGTGATTTACTGATTTGGTTGAAACTAAAAAACGATCAGTATATTCGTTTTGCAATGTCAGTTAATTTTGAAGTAGACAACATTACTGATGAAAACTACTGTGATTATGATGATACAGCCTTCAGTCCATTATTGGAAACATCGATGTGGTTCAAGTACTGAAAACACATCGCCAGAGAAAGACCAGTCTCCATTATCCAAAGCAAGTAAATTCTTGTTTGTACATGTCAACAATAATGCACAAAATGTTTACTGTTTATTCAGTTATATCTATGCAAAAACTGTCCACAAGTTTATGTTCAGTCAGCTTGCAAAATTACAGTTTTTTTCTCATTCAAAAAGAAAAGGTTCAAATTTTATGGACACACTGGCTGAAGTTGTTTTTAGATGATGTTTCCATATAGATTTCTTCCTCAAGTTGGATAAAAGTGTAATAGTCTACATCGAAACGTATTAGACAATACAGTTGTATTTTTCCTTTCTACAAACGCTTGGTACCAATGAGCAAGTAGATTCGGATATCATGGTGAGAAGTTTTCAGACCTTCCGGCAATGATATCGTGAAAATAGTTTAAGATATAAAGTTAAGGACATCCAACCCTTCCAGTATATTTCCCCCTTGTGACTTGAGGTCGGGCAAGACTTGCTGGATGGTATTTCCTTGATTCAAGTAAGCTTATACTGGAATACGTTACACAATCATACCGCTGCGTTTGGAAGAAGCAAAACATGACAAGAATTCGTTTTGATTTACAAAGAACTGTAAAATCAAGTTGAATTTTCATGATAATGCCCACAGCAAATGTCACGGACACGAGGTGAGGTGAGGTGAAGTGAAATTGGGTTTAAAGTCGTGCTGAAGAATATTTCGCTCATATGACTACGTGCATGCGTGTGTATGTGTATGTGCGGCTGCTTCTACTAGCCCTGACTGAAGCTGGTTTTATAGTGCTAGCCCACTGAGATACCATGCCGCAGTGAAACATGAATACCCCACTCAGACACATTATACTGACTCCGAGCCGACCAGTCCTTGTTGTACCCATTAATGCCGAGCGCCAGGCAGGGACCAACAAGTACCATATTTTAATGTCTTTTGGTATGACGAGGTCGGGGATCAAACCCGCGACCTTCCGCTCTCCGGGCGGACGCTCTAACCACTACACCACGGAGGCGGTCGACGGACATGAGGTGTATCTGTTGTACATAGAATTGAGGAAATAATGCAGTGTGCACTCATCCTACCCGCCTGTCGATAAATGACGCTATGATCCGCATTGTGACAAATAGACTTGACATATACACTGCCACACTTAGTACTAGGTACATGTTGCCTACAGGCCAATACAGCTCAAGCAACACTGATCCAAGATAAGGCAAAATCATGTTTCCTGTTCCTGAGGAAAGGGTTATCATGGATATAACACAAGGAGACAGGGCTACATACTTGTCGGTGTAGGCAAATACGGCGCCAGAATAGGGAGACGAACACACACCAAAACATATATTACATATCCAAAGAACTGTTAGATTGTATGGAGCGACGAAAGTGAGTGTTATGCTTGTTGGTACAAGAAAGAGAAGATTGAGAGCGATAACCTTATCTATTTCCAATACTGAACTCAAAGCGCTATTGGCGATCTTTCCAGTCAGAGAGCAGCCAAAGAATACGGACGTCATCTTTGTCATAACGGACTTACTGAGTGCCAAAGGACCTGCCACGCCAAAGACTGTTAGGAGCCCGCAGTATGTCCCGGACAGACCAGCAAAAGACAAACCGAACATCACAACCAGTACAAGCATTGCCGTCTCCAACCTTCCTGTCATGGCCGCTGGTGGTTCATCCAGATTTTCATAATCCGTTTGTGGTGATTTGACATCATCTATGTTCTTGAACCAGTAGTAGAGTAATGCCCAGCCACAAGGCAGCGTTAATGCACCTAGCACTACAAACGCCCACCTAACATGTGTTACCACTTCCGGTGGATATTTGTTACCTTTGCCAGACAGGTTCTGAGTCAGAGGTTCATGGTCGATGTTAAATGCCTTTTGAAATATGTGATTCGTAACCAGGGGCGTTCTTTCGGTCTCATTCGTCGCATTCATGTGGTAATGTCCTCCACTGTAATTAAGCAGTGTAAATGGGATTTGTGTCCAGTTGGTGTCCGACGTGGAACTGCTTTCTCCTTCATTCTTGCACATGCTCGTAAGTGCAAATTTAGGATTAAGGCAGACAGCATCTCCGGCGTATTCTGACATTGACAAGAATGGTTCTACAATAAGAGGGGTAAGCATCCCTCCCAAAGTCGTTCCAGCGAGTACGAACTGCATTGCGACATCCTTCCTCGCCCAGAGGACACAGCACAGCTCGATCGAATCTGAGAAGAAATACAGGATTCCCGGTTAACATTCAAGATCCAATATGGAAATCAACACGCAACAGCATTTAAACACCTGCTATATTTTATAAATACACCTCTGTCAAGTTTCTGTGTAGCATTGTGACCGTGGTATCTTCACCCTTCATTTCTGTCGTGTGTGTGAGACTGGATTAGAAACCACGGTCAGAGGCTCCTACGGCTAAAGTACAAAATTTTGAAATCGAGTGGTCTCGCATTAGACTGAGTGAGTGAGTTGGGTTTTACGCCGCTTTTAGCAATATTCCAGCAATATCGTGGAGGAGAGCACCAGAATTGGGTTCACACATTGTACCCATGTGGGGAATCGAACCCGGGTCTTCGGCGTGACGAGCGAACGGTTCAACCACTAGGCTACCCCACCGCGCCGTCGCGCATTAGACCACAGGGTCGGACAACTAACGGAAGAACCTGACACTTTTGTAGTTACATTAAAACACAATGCGTTGACGCAACTCAGCCAAACGTGAATATATTACAGACCAAGCGCCAAAATCTGCTGTTCGGATTTACTTCCCTTGGGTGAACCAGAAACATATCTATTGGTCTGGTAGCACCATACGCATACCCATGGGTTTCATTGCAAGGGTCCCAGTTCAGTTATTACGCATCGATTCAGGCGTTTCTCCAACCTCCGTCCGATTCGTTATGACATAGCTGAGTGAGTGAGTGTTCATGCTTTTACGCTGCTTTCAGCAATTTTTCTGCAATGTTACAGCAGGGGGGACACCAGAAATGGGCTTCATACATTGTACCCATGTGGGGAATCGAGTCCTGGTCTTCTGTGTGACTAGCGAACGCTTTAACCTCTAGCCTAACACCCCAGATATAACTGAAATTCTGTTCAACCAGCTTGGAGCGTTAAGCCAACATCACTAAATTGTATGGAAGTATGTACCAAGTATAAAACGGTCTGATTATGATATCTTCCGGACTCGTAAGCATTTTCTGAGCATTACAGATACTTCTGTTGTATGTGTTTTCCTAATTACGAGAAGGTGATCTTGATATTATCTCTCGATAAACGGCGCTTTTTCAAGTTGATCAATAATCATTTCATAGCAGGGGCGGATACAGCTTTTTGAGAAAAAAAGGGGGGTGTGGGGTGTGGGGTGTGTGTGTGTGTGTGTGTGTGTGTGTGCACACTATTGAGAAAAGGAGGGGTGCACACTTCATTTTCGCCCGAGTTTCAATGGTCATTTAACAAACTTTCAGCACAAATAAGGGGGTGGGTGGTGGTGGTGGTGGTGTATAATGTCATTTTAAAGTTTACTACTCACAGCAGATCACCAGTCCTTTCAAAATGCTATGCATGAGAAACATGAATGTGAAGTAGAGTAATACTGGTACTAGCGGCGTCAGCATCAACACAACTGACGCCATCAGAACGACGACACTGAGACGAAGTCTTAGATGCTTCTTGGGTAGCACACTAGACAATGTACTTCCGACAATCGTCCCACATCCGTTCAAGATGAACAAGTACGACAATCGCTTTAGTCCCGGTTCATGTAGGAAATATTGGAGATCAATAATGGTAGGTCCCAAAACAGAGTTGTTGATACCCTGAAAATAAAATTATAAACAAATCAACTCAGAAATTATAAAATAAAAATGTAATTTCAAGTGGCCCATTGAGTAAGTGAATAAATGACTGCGGCTTTAAGAGCTTTTTCGAGACAGCCTGGAAATAATCACGCCATGGCCATAGAACCAATACAGCAATCAGCTCTAAAGTTCACCACTGAACTACTGAAATCTTATTTTAGCTGCTTTCTACTTCATACTTAAGTCCCGAGAATAGAGCACATGGCATTGCAACAACAAATGCATTGAATCGGGTGTCAAGCATGTGCATACCCGTGAAGGTCCGGGTTAGAATTGATCAACAGTAACCCATGCTTGTCGTGAGAGACGACTAACGGGATCGGGTGGTCAGTCTCGCTGACTTAGTTGACAGATGCCATCGTATCCCATTTCGATACTCATGCTGTTGATCACTGGATTGTCTGGTCCAGACTCGATTATTTACAGAACGCCGCCATAAATCTGGACTTTTGCTAAGTGCGGCGTAAAACTAAACTCACTCGCTCAAACATGTGCACACTTAATAGATACTATTCAATAATAATTATATAGTGACTTCACTGATTAAATAGAGTAACATGACAGTTTTAAAATTATTGAAATTCTCAAATGAGATGAGAAATGGGCTTCAAGATCATTTCACATATGTGGCGAAGTGCTCCCTCTTGTACGTGTGTATGTGTGTGTGTGCGTGCGTGCGTGCGGCCATAGCTGTTGAACGAGTCCGAACTTTTGCCGGTTTGCCACTCAATCCTCGTGGACAAAACAAACTATATCTTTCGTTTATGGTGTTTAATATTTCCACATAAAGTTAGTGTTCCAGCTATACGGCGGTGGTTTGTTAATAACCGAGTCTGGACCGGACAATCCAGTGATCTACAGCATCGATCTACCCAATTGGTATACCAAGCCATGTTATGTGTCAACCAAGTTAGCGAGCCTGACTACCCGATCCCATTCGTCGACTTACGACAAGCATGGGTTGCTGCAGAAGACCAATTCTAACCGGATCTTCATTGGTTCAAATGCCTGGTATTTTTAAGTTTCACTGAATAGTATATGTAGCATGTTATATCTCCCCTTGTCTTACCGGAATCAGGAAGGCCTGGAAGAGCCACAGGGTTTGAATGGTCTTTGATGCCACTGACTCGTCCATCGTTTCTAGATTTGGCAAAGGAACACGAAACAATGTTAATGATGCTTTCAATGAAGATTTTTAAAAGCACGTGTTTATGTAAACCGTCTATTTGATACCCAAACATTTTGTTCATTGACTTTACACAGGTAATTTTATATATGATTCTTTATTATCAGTTTATATATAGAGAGGATTCTAAACGATCTTCCGTGTAATACCATTTTTATTAAACGAGTTATCAAACGAGCAAAAGCGAGTTTGATACTAAATCTTTTAGGAGTTTAATAAAAATGGTATTTCACGGAAGTGAGTTTAGCATTCTGTTTATTACTCTCCAACATGAACTGATAGGAACTACCTATAGTGTGATGACTTTCAGCTTTTCGCGAGTCAAGCAAGGTCTAATACCATTGTGACAGAGGTATTAGCATTGTGACGTCATAGTTGTAAAGCATTACGACGTCATACGTCTAGCGGTATTACACTAGTGGTGTCCTCCCATAAGAACTACATCCCATAAGAACTACAGCTTACAACAACACATGTCATGGTCCAGTGCGCAGCTTAACTACATGCTGTTACCTGCGCCTGCTTAATGGATTTGCCCAACATTAAACAAATAAAACATATATAACATTTTGCTGCGGCAGTTCATGTTGGTGTTGATAGTAAATAGTTTGCCTTCACAAAATGTAAATTTGCAGTCTTCAGTTATGATTGTACAAGTTCCACATCGAGGTGTTTGACATTTTGTTACACTGACTGATAAACCTTTTTTCATAGTATCACTTTTATACAAAGTTGGAAGATTTGCTTTTATAATGGGCATAATTGTACAGTTATTAGGATTGTAGTACAAACAAATGGAAGAATGTCCATCTCTGTATTTGTTTCTTTTGTTTTCATAAGTGTCTCTTTGGGACTTTTACTGCTTTATGAACAGCATTTCCAACTACCTAAGAAGATAATTGTGTCTTATATATCTATTACATATTACCTATTGTCACTAACTGTAACGTCATACACATGATGACGACATAGCTACTACCGTTATGCGTCGCCTATGATGACACTTAGTTTTCATTGTACACATAAAGAACCGTTGACCGGCGAAGGTCTTGTGCAGATAAATTCTGGAGTTTTATATATCGATGTATAGTTAGTTCATCTATAAATAGGCTTATGTATTTAGTGTGATAATTTAGTATCACTTTCATCCTCAGTGTTCAATCTGATCCATGTAGAACTAGTTTAGCCCAGCTTCAATAAGTAGCCAACTGCATCGAGGTACTGGATTGCAGTCTATAAACAATACTATTTTAAGTGAAAAACTCTTTCGTTTATATTTCACCTTTACTCCAATATACCTTTACTCCAATATATTAAGCTTGGTTTGCCTTTTTCTATCATATGAATACAAGAGCATTCACTGACTACAACATACCTTACTGGTCCATGGGATTTTAAGCATGTACTTCTTCTGGGAGAGCTGATTGGCTGTGTTCATTACATGCCATGGGGGTGCCTCTACTCAGATAATTAATCCCTAATTAATCCCTGTAGTTAATTTGGGATGTAGTTCAAATGGGATGTAGTTCTTATGGGAGTAAAACCACACTAGTGTAATGCTGACGTAAGAAATATTACACTGCAGGGCCTAGATTATCGAAGCTCTCTTAGCGCTAAGATAGTCGTAAGTTAATGTTAATCTATGACACATACGACTATGTTAGCGCTAAGAGAGCTTCGAATGTCTAGGCCCAGTATCTTCCACGGGAGTGTAATATTTGCCTTATCCTTTTGAATAATCCACATCAATAAGACTTTTTAATTTTTACCAAAAATTAAATTCAATATAAATGTCCTTGATAAAAACATTTGTACTCACTTACGAGAGTGTTGTTCTGGGCCGCCTTCCGTACTCACAGGGCGACCCAGTACAACACTCACGTACACACACATACGTGTTGAAGACTATTTTACCTTATTTACACACCTGTCGAAATCTACAAGATGTTTCAGGACCCAAGGAAACGACAATCAGTTCTGTTATGGTCCAACTTTCGTTATCATGTCCCTCGATCTTTGGAATTCTGAGGAGCAGATTTGAATAATTTTCAGCTGTTGTCATTTAAATTGGGATCGATTTACTGCCACGATCAAGTATACTACCCACCTTTTGATAGGCGTGATCAGGTAGGCCATTATGTTTAGATGTGCGCTTTACACATAATGGGCACTGGTTTTGACTGTCCTGGATAGACGAAAATATCTCTGTCAAAAGTGACATATGAGATTCATTCTGAGGAGACCCATTGTGCCAAACCTTCAGCGTCCTCATTCTTGTTGTCATAATAAATGCATAAATAAGATAAGCACGCCAGACAGCAATCGCTCCACATCGTCAAGACGAAATATTGGTAAAACTGTATGAATGGGTCACTGAAATAGAGAGTGAGGTTTGTTTTACGCCGCTTTTAGCAATATTCCAGCAATATCACAGCGCGGGACACCAGAAATGGGCTTCACACATTGTACCCATCAAACCGAAACATGGGTCTCATTAACCTATTCAGACAATGACCTACTTTTCAGCCGATCCGAATTTTCTCGTGTAAAAGTGAAAATAGACATCACAAACAACTATGGTTACACTGAATTCCAATGTTTCATAAGAAAATGGTATTTACAAATGAATTTTAATTTTAAACTTTAACAACATCGTACCTCTATATTTCATGACGAGGTTTAGCCAGCATGACCTTAACTAAGACGTCACAGACTGCCCCAGTTTGATGAGGTCGTAAAATGATTCACAATGCATCTGGCCGACTGGTTACACCTGTTATGTATTTTTTGCGCTTACTCAGTGTAGTTTTATAACGTTCAGTGTGATTGATATAATATCAAGTCCGTACCAGACCGCCAAACGTTTCTAGCGGCAGAGCCTCGTTTTGAGATTTACACGATTTCCAGGTCTCTGTTTGTCAGTGAATGCTGTACGACAGAGCACGCTGCACGACGTATTTGCAAAGATTATAAGGAGCGTAGTGTTGCAATATGCAAGTGTTTGATGTATCAAATAATACTGATTAATATTTATGTATCCAGTTAAATGAATTGGTCTCATAATTCTGAACTGGTTATTGTACTAAGTTGCGCAATAGGACGGAACCCAGTCGAAAGGAAACGGCAACTGTTGTGTAATCAATTTTTTGACTTGGTTGGGAAACGAATCCGGGTCTTTGGCGTGACGAACGAACGCTTATACCACTAGGCTACCCCACAGCCCCGAATGGGTCACTGAAGATTTAGAGATGACACCAGGTGTCTACACCTGTCACTCTACCTACGCTATAAAAGACAGAAAAATGACAACGCTACCTATTGAAGTATATTTGTGCTGTTGTGAATCACGTTTCGTCACCATAATGTATTATGATGGATGCAGAAGTATATACGTACATTCAACCATTCTCACACAACACATGAAGGATCACTCTACAGTTTGTTTCGTGGGTCATAAACTGTTAACATGCCAAACGTTGTCATTGGATCATAGCAACAATATGGGAAGGTTAATTTGAAACTGGCAGTCGTAATGGAAAATGTTACTTCGTATCATATGTATATAATCATAACATATATTCATTGTCTATTGAAAGACTATATAGTCAACTCGTGCTTATGAAACAAAAGCAAATAATGACGACAACAGGTGTATATGATTCGGTGAGCAGATCCTTTCCCACCAGTTATAACACATGCAAATTGGTGAAAGTAGCAGCCCTGTGGCTTCATCCAATACAGAAATAACACATCACATCTCTAGAGCTCTATCGGGATACTGGCAAACATAATCTCATGGAACATTACTTGTGTCATCAAATTGTATCCTTGATGTTTAAATTCATTCTTTTGTCATTTACTTACTGTAGATAATAATTGTACCTAAGAAGAACCCAACGGTGCATTCAATAAAGAGATGGTAAGTGCTTAAAGGTCAGTGATTACAACGCCACTGTTTAAAGGTCAATGCTTACAACGCCACTGTTTAAAGGTCAATGGTTACAACGCCACTGTTTAAAGGCCAATGCTTACAACGCCACTGTTTAAAGATTACAACGCCACTGTTTATGCTTACAACGCCACTGTTTAAAGGTCAATGATTACAATGCCACTGTTTAAAGGCCAATGCTTACAACGCCACTGTTTAAAGGTCAAAGCTTACAATGCCACTGTTTAAAGGTCAATGCTTACAACGCCACTGTTTAAAGGTCAAAGCTTACAACGCCACTGTTTAAAGGTCAAAGCTTACAACGCCACTGTTTAAAGGTCAATGCTTACAACGCCACTGTTTAAAGGTCAATGCTTACAACGCCACTGTTTAAAGGTGAAAGTGGTGAAAAATGTACGAACGGATCGGTGAAACTCCCTGATGACACGCGGTGTTCGCCAAAAGGGTGGGTCAGTAGAAAAGTCAGTAGAACATGAACTGCAACTTTGGCTAGTATGCCTGAGAATTACTGATGAAATAGGGTTACACGTTAGTGACAGTTTGTTATCTATTGAGCGGAGTTCTGTTAACATGGGACGACAGATCAGCGTGGTCATACACGGCATCGACATCCACCAAGCATCATAATCGAGGGGAATCCATTCTTGGAGCATATACTGATGAAAATATTGAAATATGAAACCCCCTTATATTGTGTAATACCTGATTTTCATGCACCAAATATCAGTCTCGCTGCGGTTACCAATACATTGACCCTCTCATACTCAGTAACAACATCAAATATCAGTTTCATCTGTGAAATCATTGGAAACTGGCGACCGATGGTTGTTACGTACTCAGCAAGAAAGGTATGATCAAACAATTGTGTCTTAAAGTGGGAAGATGCAATTCAGTCCATTCAGTCCAAATACGTCTCATTTTTTACACAATCAGTTTGAACTACTTCTTAATAAGTCCTAACATTTAACTCCTCATCTGTTTTCTTTTTTTACTACGTACATTGCTCTTATGAGG